TTTTTTTTTTTTTTTTTTTTTTTTGTCACCTTATTAGGACTCCTAATTAATGTCAGACCACTTGTCGATTCTCTATTTTAAATTTCAAATTTTAAAATTTTCACTATAACTACATTAAATTAATAACATTAGAATAAAAAATAAAATAAAATAAATATCAAGGTTGTAAAAATCGTTCGACGGTAGCTCGATGGTCGACTGGTGTTAAGGGATTAATCGGTCTTGGCGGGGATTAATCGGGGACCATAGATTATTAATAAAATATTAAAATTAATTAAATATTAATATATATCTTAAGAAAAACAAGTACTTCAAAATTAGAAAATAAGAAAAATTGTAATTTGGAAATTTGGAAATACGAAAATATGAACATTTTGGTATAATATTCGAAATTTTGAAATTTTGAAAATTTTGGAGTAAAATAAAGAGTTGGTTTTTTTAAATTTTTTTTGAAATTTTTTTGACATTTTTTTGACTTTTTTCCGTCTTTTTTGACTTTTGTTGACCGATTAATCCCGCCAAGGCCGATTAATCCCTCCAAACCCGATTAATCCTAAATTTCCGATTAATGCCCTAATCCTCGACGGTTGGAGAACGCCAAACGATTAATCCACGATTAATCGCCGATTAATCCCAATTTCTGCAACCATGATAAATACAGATTATAAGGTGATATTATTTCCTGTATTTATTTGAATCAACGATTATAATTTTATATAACTAAAAAGTATTTCTTAATTAATAATTTATTTAAAATAATTAATTAATGATTTTTAGTTGTTACTTTGAAATTTTAATTAATTTTATAACCGTGATTCCCAAAAGTTATAAACTAGTTTACTATGAATAAATTGTTGTTTTTGTTTTCACAACCCGATTCAAAATTTCTGATTTATCATCTTCTTATAAAAAAATCGATATTAAAACCTTAACAATATATATTAATTAATACTAACATACAAGCGACATTGATATTAATAATATATTTAACAAACACAATTTTATTGTTAATAAAACATGTTACCAACAGTCAACAACGATACTTTTAATCAATACATTAGTATGTCTTTTAATTTTTTAATATATAATATTAAAAGAAAATTCGATATACGATCGCACTATCCTAAGGCCTACCGGTATGGTGACCACGAAGTGGGTCGTGGTCTAGGTGGCCACAAACCACGACCGTGCACACCACCCCAGTGGTTCGTGGTGGGTCGTGGTTGTGGCCCTCCGTGCTCCAGACAACGATTCCAAAACGACCAATAGTTTCATTTCTTGCATTAAATCTCGTTTGACCTTTTCTTCCCCCTTCCTAACGGCTATTTTTCAATTCCTTCAACATTTACCTATAAATACTACCACTCATCCTCTTATTATTTTTCATACAATTCTTCTCCCTTTAGATACATTTTTGTTGTTTGATCCTTCAAAAACCATGCCTCCCAAAAATAAGAAATGGTCAGAATAGGAAGAAGAGAAATTAACACAAGCATGGGTGACAATTTCGGAAGAAGACGCTGGCCAAACTTCCTGTTCTTTTTGGAGAAATGTTGAAAGTGTTTTCCATGGTTTAATGGGTTGTGCAATTCGAAATGTTGATGAAATATACTTGAAGTGGCGCGATATGAGAGCCAAATGTTATGAGTTCAATGGAATTTACAACTTTGTTATAAACAACGTACACGAAACCGATATCGATCCGGTTAATGTGGTCATGGAGCAATATGAAAACACAAATCATCAACGTTTTAGACATGTGAAAGCTTGACAAAAATTGAAGAATTCCCCAAAATGGAATAACCTTGCTTAAAAAAACAGACATTAGAAGTTTGGTATTTTTAGCTTTTTAATTCTTAATGTTATTTTTATTGTTTTTTTATTTTAGTTAATATAATTTTTAGTTTGAACGTTATTTTTATTATTTTTTTTTCGTTTTAATTAATGTAGTTTTTAATTAATGTAATTTAGTATTTTAAATTAATGAAAATTAGTATTTAAAAAAACAATTATATGAATTTTTATGTATTTTTAAATTAAATCTAATTAAAAAATAAGGTGAAGTGGTATGTTAGTGGTAGGTATCCCATGTTAATGATAGAGAAATGTGGTGCTGGTGTGGCATCCTCCACATATGTGGTATGTAGTGAGTATAACGGATGGTCTAACACCCTAGCCATTTTGTAACAAGTATTTGGTAGTTAGGACACTAAAGATTACAATGAAATTTGGAACATCTGCATAACGTTGCATTCATTCTGGAATTTTATAGAATTTTAGGTCTTTTAACTTATTTAAAAGGCAAATATTGCATATGTTTTTCGATTATTCCATATCAATACATTTATAGTCATGTTTGTTATATTATCTTTATCCAATTTGAATAAATTACTCAATGTAGTCATCAATAACATAACTAACACTTTCTATTATTCTCTATCCTCCTTGTATTAGTTATAACTTATAACTTCATAAATACCCAAAGAAGGAAAGCCATTGGCAATTTGGCATCATTACCAACTAAACTATGTTAAATTATAAGAAAATTTGAATATATCAACGTATTTTTCATTTTCCTTTCATAAAATATTATCTCTCTTTTAAAAATGTTACCCTTTTTGAAGTTGCAATGTATGTTAAATAAATGGTTCTTGTGTGATGAATGTGACAAATATCACATCTTTATGAAGAAAAAAAAACAAAGAAAAGGACACATCTTTGACCTTAAATTTATATATCACACCTCAAATCTATGTTTGGTGTCAAAAGCGTGTAAAATTGTATTCAAATCTGCAAGCTGTACTTCACTCAATTATTATATCTCCTAATTTTATAACAATTTCATCCAATTTCAGTTACCAAAAAAATTGTTCAAGAACATCATGATTACCTCCCCAAAAAAACTGATTTTTTGTTCAAACATCCAATTTTCGTTAACAACGCATGATATCAAGAAACAGTTCAATCAGCGAAAACAACAAAATGAATGGGTCAAACATTGTAAAAATTGTAACTTTTTGGATGATCAAATGGGTATTTCTTGTTCTTGATACTTGCTAGAATAATAAATGATAATCTTCTTCAACATGATTTTTCCTTTTTTTTTTCGCAATTAAATGATTTTTAAATAAATCTAATCCATTCCCTGTACAAATTTATTTCAACGTTTTCGTTGTGGGAGGATAATCCATGATTATGGAATTAACAGAGACATGATCGATGATTTGATTCACATTTTCCATGGTGTCTGAACGTTCTCCGATCATCATCATCATCATCATCTTCCGGTGATCAACACCCATCAACAAATTTAATTTATGTAGAAATAAGTAATCGATTAACCTAATCAGCCACCGCCATTACTGGCCTGTTGAAGTTCTACTCCGGTAATGTAATTCCTCACCTCCATTCTAACCATCTCCTGCATCACCGATAAAAACTCCGCACTAAACGGCGGAACCACCTTCTCCGGCTGCTCAATCGGTGGTCGGGATACCTGAAGTTGCTGCATCGCCGCCGAAATCGCCATCGGAGCAGGTTTCGGAACCGGCGGAGGATGCGTCACCGTCGCCGTCGCCGTCGCCGCTGCCGACATCGACACCGACGACGCTTCAAATGATTCAGCTCCAGGAAGCGATAGACTTAACGACGTCGGCGGATCGTTAACCGGTGCGGCGGGTCTCGCCACCGGCCGGTAAACGTGAACGCTCGAATCACTGACGTCAGATCCCGACGGACTACTCGGATTGAAGCAAAAACCCGACACCGGAACCCCTGAGCCGGCGGAAACAGATCGTTTCAACGACGGTTGCTGAATCGAAAACTCGTTAAATTCTTCATTCGTCATGGAAGAACACTTCCTCTTCAAGGTGGAGTTCCAGTGGTTTTTAATGGCGTTATCAGTCCGACCCGATAACAACCGGGCAATCGTAGCCCATTTGTTACCAAACCTCGCATGAGCTCTAAGAATCGTCTCGTCTTCCTCCGGCGTAAACGCCCGGTGCTCTACCTGCGGCGAAAGCTGGTTGCACCACCGTAAGCGGCAGGATTTCCCGGATCTACCAGGGATTGTTTTGCTGACGAGAGACCAGTTTCTTGGACCATGTTTCTCCACGAGTTGCTGAAGCATCTCGTCTTCTTCGGGACTCCATGGACCTTTGATTCGATCCATCTGTCTGTAAATTTTTTTTTGGGGATTTGAGTGAGAAGTTGAAGAAGACGGAAGAAATGGCGGTTTTTATATATAGGGTTAAGACTGTGACGAAAAGAAAGGTGACAGGCTGTGAGATTAGCAAGAGGTTGTGTTTGGGATCCAGCTGGCTAACGAACACGCGTCACAAATGCTCCTGTGCCCGTTTACACATATGCTACTCTCATTTTCTCAAAAATATCCATACAATAATAATAAATTCTAAAATTAAAAAAAATATATGTAAAATATGATTTAGGATTTATAGTTTAGGTTTAGTCTGGTTATATAAACTAAAATGTTGATAATAAAAATTATTGTTAAAGTTTAAGGATTTTAATAAAATATTTAATATTAAACATCAGTGGTAAAAATTATTATATTTAATAAAAAGTTGTCAAAGATATGGAAGTGTATTTCAACAGAACGGTTCTGCAGAAATCAATTTTCCAATGTTTACATGCACCATATGCTCAATATTTTCTTCTAGATAGATATCTCTATAGATGGGCTTAACCAACATATGTCTCATGTGGAATATCGTATTATCCTTAAATATCAGCTCATGATCCCATATTTCCAGATGACGAGATATGACAAGTGTGCCGCAAGACATGTTTGGACTCTTTTGGAGAGCACGCAGTTCATTGTAAAGAATTCCCGAGGTTCAAATATAGGCACAATGTAGTTAGAGATGTTTTGTTTGACATATTTAAGCGTTCTGGGGTTTCCACCAAGAAAGAGACACTTGTGAATTTCTTGACAGACCCAACATAAGGAAGGTCAAACCTTAGATCGACTGACGTTATGATTTTTGGATGGGTTGGAGGGAAACACGTCTGTGTGGACCTTATAGGGGTATCTCACTCTCGTGAGTTTGAAGGTTGGGGGGTTCACAGCCGGGACATACTGCTTTAAAAGCTGCTACATGCAAAGTCAGAAAATATGGGAAATCGTGCATGGAAAATCCACACATGTTAATACCATTTGTGTTTGATATGTTTGGTTTCCTCGCGTCGAATGTGGTGGAACTTCTTAATTGAGTACAACGGATCATGCATATCAATGTTATATCCCCTAGATCTATGGATGTAGTCTTCAAAAGAATTGACTTTACCATGCAAAAAGGCTTAGCGGCGTAATTTGTTGCCTCTTTGCCTTCTCACTCGTTGTGCTATGATAACTAAGTTATATTTTCCTCTTTGGTTAATCGTTCCATCTATAAGATTATTTCCAAAAACAATTGTTATAATATTTTTATTTTGTTGTTATAACTGGTTAAAATGGTTGATATAAAAAACGTCGTCAATTTTTACTCTTTCTTTAATAAAATGTAATTGTTATGCTAAAAAATTGTTAAAATATAGAATTTTTATGTATTTTTTTATAAAAGTATAATATTTCAAATTATATATAGAGTAAATTACAAAGTTGGTTGATGTGTTTATTTAAAACTAGTGAAGAGGCCCGTACGTTATAGGGGTCAGAATTTTTTGTTGACGTTTGGTGGGTCAGGTACACGAAAATCCAACAACACAATGTAGGGCAAAGAGATAGTTTATGGAACCATGAAATGCTATCCAAATAAAATTGTAGTTCAATTAACTTATTTTTAAATAGGTTTACCTTAACATCCTATTTTTACTTAATTAACATACCACTTTGATTTCATGCCATCTCAAAACAATAAAATAAAATAAAAAGTACAAATTCCAAAATTTTGTACTCATTTAATTTCACTCTAAAGCAATGGACTTTGTAAATCTAAAACTCCTAAATGCACCAAATAAATAAAAGAGGCGTTCTAATTGTTGGATTATGTGTCTAAGCCCATAACCGTAATTGATATGAACTTGAATTGATGGTATCACAGTCCTTTTGGGTTGCCCTCAAACCTAGCAATTGGACATGATGTTTTGTAAAGAGAGGTTAATTTATTATTTGATTAATAAATTGAAATAAATAATTTATTAATATATTATGAGAATAATATATTAATTAGAAATAGTAATATTTAATTAATTATTAATCAGAAATTAATTGAAATTAATTTTGAGATTAATAGAATTAATTAAAAGTGCAGGGGTGAAAGTGTAATTGTTCAATAGTTGAACAAAAGACATTCTAGAACCTCCCTAGGCTATGGACGGTTTTGGGAGTGTTCTAACGGTTCTAGAATTATCGTTGGAGGATAATCAAGAAGCTGGATAATTACCAAAAACAAGATAATATTATTATATTGGTTTTAGGGTTATCTAGGGTTTCCTGGTTGCACTATATAAGGAGCCTTACCCCTTCACCTTTCGGCCACTCATAACTTAGAGAACTAGGCCGAAATTATGACCTCCTCCCTCATCTCTCCTTAATATCCTTCTTGCTTGTGTTGGGTGTGAACCACTAGAGGCATGCCGCTTGTGGTGCTTGCTTCCAAAAGATCAACAAAAGGGATTCTTGGTTGTTTACTTCAACAATAATTCAGATTTTAATAGGTAATTTTTGTAGATTGATAGTTCATAGTATGTTGCTTTTATGTGAAAGACATAGATCATTCTTAGGTTGCATGTGCCCTAATCATTTAATTGTTAAATGTTTTTTTGCTTAGAACATTGTTTTTGTAACCTCCATAACTCATCAGTGGTATCAGATCCTATGACTATCTTTCATATGATTGCACATTGGTGAATCGATCAAAACTAAAATTTTCGGATTTGTCGCATCTCACGACGTGAGATCTGATTAGATAAGATTTTTCGAGATTATATGCCTAATCTGTTTTGTTTGGTAATTATCTGCCTTAAATATCTTCCAAGTCCGATTTTGCTGAATATTTGATGATAAATTACAAGCCTCAAAGTTAAGAGGTAAATATTTGACTTGATGAACTATTTTATTGATTAATATGATTGATTTTTTAAGTATGTAAATAACTGATTTAGATACTAATTCATCCTAATAATTAATTTCAAATATTATTTGGTTTATATTAAATTTAAATTATATAAATTTTTGAAATTTATTATAAACCTAGTATTTTGAAAAAGTGTTAAAATACACTTTATACTATATGTAAGATTAAAAGTTTAATAATTATTGTATGTATACGAATAAGTCAGTCGAACCGCTAGTACGCCTCATTCACGATGCCGTACTATAAAGGGAGTTTAAGGAAGCGACCTATAAAACGACCGCCATTGGGTATCCACTCTTACCCACCACTCTCTTGTATGGTGGATGGTTGTTAGCCGAACGGGTTTGATAGGACAATTAATTCTCATTAATAAGTATAATGCGATTAAAAGTAACTAAACTCTTTTATTTTAAATCCCAATCTTGGTTACTTTAGGAAAATGTGAATTTGTATGCTAACCCATGAAATTGAACATTATACTTTATAGTAGTTAGTGGAGCGCGTGTGGTTAACCGAAAAAGTAACAATGACTATAAAGAGTGATAATGAGCATTTCAAAAATTATCACTGATTAATGGAGCTTGTGTGGTTAACCGACACATTAAAATGAGATGATAAATGACATCGAGAGTACCAAACTAATTTACATGATTATTCACATCTTGTTTGTGATCCTTAGTATCCCAGTCACAAATGGAAGAGCATAATCTGAGATTAAACATGTCATTGAATAGTTTCAGTGAGTATCAAAAGATCTAGGAATTTCACTTAACTTAATTTCCTTCAAATTTCATTTTTCAATGGTGGAATTGGTAAATCTTTATTTACCTACCTTTATAAAATTTACAATTAGATTACAACATCCTTTTTTTAAGTTGTAAATTTTTAGTTGGATCCTACCCTTAATATTTCATTTTGGGTTGTTATAATAAGGAATATTCTTATCTGACTAAAACTACCTTCCTTGTACAGATGTCTGTTCCAAATGATGCTTCTGGTTCCTCCTCCTCCTCCAATCAAAACTTCTCGTTGCTGAACATCTGCTTAAGGATGACATTGGATGGCACCAACTATAATGAATGGATACGCACCATCAAGATGGACCTTCGTTTCGAGGACAAGGAGTATGTCCTTGAGAAAGAGTTTAATTAGATTGACGAAGAGAAGGTCACTCCTGAAGAACTGGCCGCCTACAAGAAGCACTACAATGATGCAACAAAAGTTGCTTGCATCATGGTGGCCACCATGACTACTGAATTGCAGAGATACTATGAGGATTACTGGTCGTACGAGATGAACAATGACCTTATGGAAAAGTACCATAAGCGAGATCGCCAAGAAAAGTACGAGGTGGTAAAGTCCCTCATAGCAAGCAAGATGAAAGAGGGATAATCTGTTAGCAGCCACGTGCAAAGAATGCAACGATATGTGGATTGCCTTGTCAAGCTTAATGTGAATTTTGATGAGGAGTTGGCTATCAGCATAATCCTGAACTCCTTACTAAGTTGTTATGATCAGTTCATCTTGACCTATCTTTTAAACAATAATGAGACCACTTTATCTCAATTGCACAACCTCCTGTGAACAATTGAAGCATGGATGAAGGGAAAGAGTGTTGCCTCCACTCCTGCTAGTGCTCCCGTTCTAGCCATTGGTAAAGGGAAAGGGAAAAAGAGGAAAGGTCATCCAAAGAAAAAATGGAAAGGAAAGTCTCAATCAGGGTCGTCAAGCAATTGACCCAAAGGTAAATCCAGTTCTGATGCTCCCCCTGTCTCTGATCCCAAAGAGGCCACTTGCTTCTACTACAATGACAAAGGGCGTTGGAAATGTAACTTCCCAAAGTATCTGCAAGACATTAAAGATGGCAAGGTGAAGCCGCAGTCTGCAGGTGTAAGGGTCAAAATGTTGTCAAAATGTTGTAATTAGTCGAAGTGTATTTTGCACTCTTCGAATGTTTTGTAATCTATTTTACTAAGGCGCTTTTATTCGAAGCTTAAGTGTGTATGCCTTAATATATTTTTTGTACGATTTCTGTTCCCTATAAATAGGGTTATTTACTAGAGTTAAACAAGAG